CTCTACAGTCATCTTTGATGACCATCAGCCTATTCATCTGTAACTCTGGAGATCCTATGCCCATCTTCTTTCTTAAATTTCTTATTTAATTTCACCTACTGTGGACTGCAATCAATACCCTTAAACTAGACTGGATGTAGCAACTCCCTAATGTCCTGAGAGTCTAAACTCAGGGAAGCTGATGGCGCTCACATGAGTTGCTCAACCGGAATCTGGAAGAGAGACACGTACTTATTCAACGGGGTTAGCATGATCTCCGAGTAATCTCCTGAGATTGCAGGAGGCATTTTCCGCTAAGGCTTCTACAGAGAGGCCTCAGAAATGCACTGGTTAAAAACTCTACAAACCAAACAAACTTAGGACACACCTCCAAAAGGACACTATGTCTAATTTCATTAGAAATTATACCTAACATTCCCCCATGTATTCCCCTACATGAGAAAACACCTAGGAACTCTTTTTAAGTAAATATACAACTGTAAGCCATGTCCAATTTTACATAAATCATGCAATTGCCACTATGGGCTGGAAGTTAGTTTCCTGAAATACCATCCTGTCTTAATAGCATGTTAATTTATCTGCTTAATATTTTACAATGGACAAAAGTAAGTATGCAAGTTGATCGTGGTCTGAATTTGCTGTTTCATTTTGTTTTCACTGTAACATCAGGAGATCTGGCATTTATCCACTGAAATGTGCCTTTCATCAATAAAACATTCTTCCATCAGTAAGACACCTGTAACAATTTAAGTCTCTTCAATATCCTAAATCCCAGTTAGGCAAAATATATTAACACAAAGTGACATTCAGAGCATGAGCACTGGCACTGAAGTTAGGTACTTTTATTAAAATACCTCGCTGAATTGGAAGGTCGGCAACGAATATCCTTTATGATAAATGAAAACAATCTTCTAAAACGCAGTTTCTCCTGTTCTTTCACCAGACCCATGTAGACTAAAGACAAGTACAGAATTAACATACTCTCTCCTTTTTCTTTTTTTGCCTTACTATTCATAAACTTATTCTAAGTAGCAGCATTGTATGTATAGCTGTACACAAACCACCTCATGAAAAAGGCTGTCTTATGTGGGTATTCCTCTGGAAGCTTAACTTTGGCCATTTTAGAAATTATTAATATAATCTGCACTCCTTTACTAAGCACTAGTGGTTTTTTATTTCAGTTAAAGGCAATGTTTTTCCTTTTTCTTTTTGAAAATGGAGAAAGCTACTTTATTTACAAATGTCTCATTTTGGTTCCTGTCTAAGAACTAGTAGCTCAAATGTGAGTATTTGCTTTCATTCTGCTATTTTATTTTAATTTCTTCACATTTGTCTTTTTAATTAACCATGATCTAATGCATTAAATATAACACATTTCTGAGAAATGGAACTGTGAACTTTACAGCATTGTTATTCTTTTGGGTTTATATTGTTTATTATTTATAACTGCTAGTGCCATAAAGTCTAATATCAATCCCCAAATCAGATTCTGGGTCTCCTTTTTTGAAATAGTATCGGATGCACCAAGTCTGAAATTTTCTTGTGGAATAATCAGATTAGAAATCAAAAGGTAATTTCTGTTCATTAGTATAATATTTTTTAAAACACCAGAGATGAAGTACTAAAGAAAATTTTAGAAATCACATGTAAATGCCCAAGAAAAACACAGAGACTTTTAGTAGTGTTCAGGAGAATAAATTTACAGTGGAATTTAGACAGAATTAGCAGCCATGTTGGCTACTAACTATAATTAAAATGTACTTTGGCATTATACCAATTTAGGATACCTGCCTACCATTTTGAAGTTTTAATGTATATTTATGCTATAAATATACATTACTGATGCCTTTATTTCTGCCTAGAGGTAAACAAAACATGGGTTAATATGAGAGAAATCTTACATGTGATATAGAAACATCAAAGGCCCATACTAATGATTACCCATTTGGATAAAGCATCATAACACCACAAAAATTGTTCATTGGTTTTATTTGTGTTATTTTTTTATTTCTTACAATTACTTTGTTTTCTTAAAGCAAAAGATATTTGTTCACACAAACTTAACATGGCCCTTGCACTATGTGTCTCAGGTCCCTCAGGAGCGACACAATATAATCTTTGCAGTGCTAATTCACCAGGACACTGGTGCAGAGCACGCTTAGCTGATTACAGCTCCTCGAGGCTTGAAAAGGGCATTCACAATCATACAAAACCAGGGCACGATGCCTGACTCCCTGACACGATAGCTAAACAACAGTAATTTTATTCTGTTTCTCTACATCAAAGACATTTGCAGTTCTGTTGGGTCTGTTTTGCTGCCTTGTGTGGACCACAGCTCTATACTACCAGTAAATTTGTAATAGCAAACAGATAAGAGTACATAAAAAACAGATTTTTGCCTTTCCACAGTGCAATATTCTATTGCAGTATAACACGCAGTAGCCAAATGAACCCTCTGCGGTTATTACCCACCTAATGTTGTAAAAATATTACTATGACATTTCGTCTGGTCGACCATCTTAAAGGTTAATTCTGTTTCCTATTTGAGATTTTCCTCTAGGTGAGCCATTCCGTGCAGTTTCTATTTACCGATTCCAAACAACCCCCAAACTGTTTCATTGCTCACTCTCACTGTTAAGAACATATTGACTGGCTGCCTGCTCTGCTGTTTAATTCATTTATGCTGAGAGTCAGGCATGAAGACAGAATTTTAAATGTGACATTTGCAGGCTGTTGGGTCATTTGAAGCTCTGACAACACCAGGGAGTTCCTGACATACAAACTGGTTCTGATTTCCAATCTTCCATGTTCTGAACACATCAGAGATTCTTCCCGGAGGTGCAGATTTGAGCCAAAAGTTTTAAAATCCCATGTGTTTACATCTCACAGAAAAGACCTGTACACTTTAAAGTTTTAAAATAAAGCTTATGTTTCCTTTAAGGTAAAACCAGCGCTGCCTGCAGCGTGCAACTCAACTGCTTAAAAACACTGACTGACAAAGGTATTTTGGAAAGATGTACAATAATAATTAACACTAATAGGATTTT